ATTCAATTTTGAAACTGCCACGTTCAATCAATAATGGCTGATATTAATGAATATATTCAACATTGCATTTATATTCTAAAATTAAAAGTCTGTGTATTTTGTTTAGAAAATTATCTCGTAAATATAAAGTCAAAAGAAGCAAGACGAGTAGGATAACGTTACTAAGAATTGGTGAGCTTCCCATTTATAAAAATATCGGTAGACGAGATGGAATTCTACGTCAATATCGCTATTGTAAGGTTTGTAAATTAAATTATGTAGAGGATGAATTTCATTTTCTTTATAATTGTCCAGCATATAACGAATTACGTATCAAATATTTTGAAAACATACCTATGTACATCAATGAAGATGTCATGATCTATGATCTTCAACGTGATAATCCAACTCATTTACTGTCCATCTCAAATTATGTTAAAGAGGCCTTACTTTTGACCAATTCATTTGTTTGACAGCAACTCATAAATGTATCCCATATGTTAACATTGCACGTGGGCCGAAGGCCTTTCTACTGAATAAAAGATTCACATCAGCGTGTAGCCAACTGCTCAACTACCTTTCCACTTAGGAATAGTCAAATAGTTAATAACATATACAGTAGAACACGGATATAACGAACTCCAAGGGACCAAGAAATTTAGTTCGCTATATCCGTTGTTCGTTATTCACATTTGACCGCCATCTTGGATTGTAGAGATGTAGAGACATGTATATGCTGAGGCTACAAATCTTTATTCTTGTACATGTACATTGACATAACACTTAGTGTTCGGTGGAAGGAAGACCAGTTTGACGTGTGTCCGGTGTTGGGCAGGACAGGACTGGCAAACTGCGTACATTTTTGAAGCATCTAAGCTTTGCTGACTTCCCTGTGACTAACAACTTAAGTGTTTCACTCCCGGACATGTTTGCCGCTTGATGTATACCGCTAAGTGGCTGAGCTGACACTGAGCTGACACTGAGTGAGTTTGCTAATCACGTTGTTAATTGGGTCTTGGGGGTAGTAAATCAGTTCGCTATAGCCGTTAATTCGCTACTCACGAGTTCGTTATTCGCGTATGATTTTAATGATATTATAAAGGACTATTGACGGGACTTTTAAATTTGTTCGCTATATCCGTGTTCGCTATATCCATGTTTTACTGTAGTTATATATAGTTGACAATGTATATAGTTACATTTATATAGTTATATGTAGTTATATTAGGTGTATGTCCAAGCTACAGTTGCAATATATCCATGTACTTTAATGTGAAATGTTGATAAATGGGGCGAGCTGGCTAAGGCGCCAGGCTAGTGGTCCAGCGAGGCTGAGGTGTCGGGATCGAGCCCTCCTGTGACCGGGTGTAAAAACCTTGGAGTCAACTTTGTGTGCAGACTCTTTCGGTGTTGTCACAACCCCTAGTGTACAGTACACAACCCTGTGCACTTAAAAGAACGCACGAATCCGTTGGTATTTGACCAGATGGTGGCCACATGAATACGTGCAAAAACCTAGTTGCGGGTACAGCAACGTGTAGTGAACTTGGACAAAGTACTGTGACTATGTGTCCCAGTCCACCCAGCTGTGAATGGGTACCTCGTTAGGATGAGAAAGCCACAACAACTCGGTGCGCCTAGTGGCTGCAAGAGCTGTATACTCCCCAGGGATTTGAGATTGATAATACGATGTGCCGTTGAGATTGACATCCAATGATCAAGGCAAAAAAATACCAGTGCCTTGAGCATGCACTAGTGCGTGGATATGTGCGCTATATAAATATCCTATAATAATAAATCAATAAATATGCGAAAAATATCCAAACTGAGTAACTTTGCATGTCTAAGTAGAACAAAACATCCACGTTTCTACTCAGACTAAAAACATTAGAAAGATTGCTTTGACAAGTTTTTTTAGTTTCCGTATGATAATATTTAATATACAGTTAAAGAAAAACCTAACTACTTCCAAGAATTTTAAGCCGCACGGATTATTTGGGAGGACTTGAGCAACAGATGATGGACTCTTCAGACACATGCAGGCAATGTTATCAATCACGTGGGATAAAGGGAAGACGCTTCCAAACGCTCCCATAAGTTGCCATAGGTAAACTCATCATTTTCAAACTGCTCAACACCAGTTTCAAAATATGTTTACCACCCTGAAAATCTAATCAAGATTTTTACACAAACTGTTCGCGTTTGTATTAAGCAAACTATTATAATCATTCTTTCTTGTGCTACATTCAAGCATGTAAACAACGACTCTAGACCGTAGGTGGATGGCGGTTTGTTGTGTAAACATCCCGGTAATTGATATCAGATGTTGGTGTAGCCCAGCGGTTAAAGCTTTCGCTCATCACGATACAGATCTGGGTTTGAATCTCATATTGGTCTCGCGTGATGTATATTTGCGAGGACAGCCTGTTGAATTTGGACAAACGCGAAGTAAAAGCATGCTCGCCCATTCACTCCCTATTACATCGCCACAGAGTATGCAGAATCATCAAGGGCGTTCTCGTGTTCTCACGTTCTCGTGCGCGAAAGCATGAGACTTTCCTTTACAGTAAACATGTTCACTGAGAATACAGACCCATCATTATCTACGTAATTAAGGCTGATCTCTTCATCTTCAAAGTATGTATCTTTTTACAAGCTCTCCATCACATAACAAGGTTGCTATAAGCAAGGCTAATTATTGTTGGTATTCAGTGGTGGTGGTGGTGCTTGAGAATATGTCGCTCATATGACGACGTGCATGCGTGTGTATGTGTATGCGCGGCTGCTTGTACTAGCCCAGACTGAAGCTGGTTTCATAGTGCTAGCCCACTGAGATACCATGCCGCAGTGAAGCATGAATACCCCACTCAGACACATTATACTGACTCCGAGCCGACCAGTCCTTGTTGTACCAATTAATGCCGAGGGCCAGGCAGGGACCAACAAGTATGATGTTTTAACGTCTTTTGGTATGACGCGGTCGGGGATCGAACCCGCGACCTTCCGCTCTCCAGGCAGACGCTCTAACCACTACACCACGGAGGCGGTTGTATTCAGCACTATCACTGGAACAGTGATCCACGTTATCTGCTAGCTGCCTGATTCAGGCGTGTTCAATAATTACATGGCATTGGTTGAAATAAAAACACTTCTAACAAACTGACAGTAAAAATGGAATAGAGGGATTTAGATCTAATGTGAAAGTTATTCTCAGAAATAGATTTAATTACATTCTCCCATCTCGAAACATATGTTGACAGCACATGGTCGACAGTCTGTTAATTTACAAGCTTTACGAAATAATATATAATATAATGAAGTTATGGTTCATAAGGTAGCAATTAGATCGCTTATAATGTAATTGCATATAACAGTTACGAGAATATTTCTGAAAAAGTATACATTGAAAATAGACATGAAAGACAACAAATCATCCAGACGTGACATGGAAAATTATGTACGTGACTAACATGGCACACTGATCTGAATCAGATTGGATGTCAATTAATTACTATACACTCCATGGACTTCTATCAAACTATTGTGTAACAGATGTTCATCATTCAAAGAGTCAGCGAGTGAGTATGGTTTTGCGCCGCTTTTAGCAATATTCCAGCAATATCACGGCGGGTACAACAGAAATGAGCTTCACATTATATCTCTGTGGGGAATCGAGCACGGATCTTCGGCGTGACGAGCGAACGCTTTAACCACTGGGCTACCCCACCGCCTCGATGAAGAGAATAAGGACTGAAAGGCATGTATACAAGTGTGAGGAGTGTTTGTGCAGTACAATGGGAAGCCCATTTAGGGTGTCCCCCGCCGTGATATTGCTGGAATATTGCTAAAAGCGATAAAAATTCCTTATGTATATCACTTGCTTTATGGATGACAGCGTTTTGTTTAGTGCATAGAGTGACGTTTCGCGCACGGGATTAGAACCAACTGACGAGAGGTATATGTGTTAGCACCAATAAGGAAACTCCGTCCGTAGCGTTACTGTTGGGTTTTCTTATTGACGCTAACATATAAACACAGTACGTTGTTACAACAGGTAATTGATTACAACCGGGTGAAGAGTAAGAAGAACACATAGCACAAGTCAACAGGCTTATATACAGGAAATAATTACTAACTGGATGCTAGTACAAGGGTTGATTGGTACAGTCTATCACTTAATCAACTCTTCGAAGGTCGATGGTATGTTATTCCCTTCATCTATGCTGATCAAAGGTTTGTGGCGGTGGATTTCGATGGGTTCCACGAAAACTTTTTGGTGTCCTTATTTCTAAAATGGAAAGAATTTCGAATTTGTCGAATTGAATTTGTTAGTGGTATGAGGGGCCTGATTTGCTTTCTGCTTTGGCTGTAGAGAATTTGTGCTCTTTATCATCTGAACAACAGTTGCACGTGGAACTTAATATAAACATTATAAGAATCTTTCATCCATACTTCTAAAAGTATGATTATCGGTTACATGAAGAACTTTTAAAATGCGTTTCTAAAATGCTTGAGTATGTATGTTTCTATGGGAGCATATTCATTCGTGTCGCGCCTGTATTTCCCAACCAGAACGATCTGATAAGCATAATCTGCAAATGTCACATCTGTCACAGACCAACAGGATCCACAGGGTATTGCATCCGACAGCGCGGTGAATTAAATCCTAAATTAGCAATTGCACAGTTGGTCATAGAGTATTATGTAAATATTTAATATACAGCAAACGCTACCTTTGTCCTAGGTGTTTCGCAAACTGTGCCAACGAACATCCCAACAGAATGACATATGTTACTAACTGCTGTATATAATGCAGATGTTCATTGGCAATGGAAGTTGTCATCATATCCTTCATACAAGATGGTGTGACGCGCCTTTGAAAGTACATACTCTTTGTATGACGGGTAAACGGTATTATTTGGTTTTGTTAATTCTTCTTTTCTTTCAGCTTATTAACGCAGCATTACAGCATGTGTGTTTTATGAAACATTTAATGTATACTCGTCCATTGTTTGTTTCAGGATATCTGCCGTGAACCGCGACATCCAAACGGTCCTACAGCAAGGATACTTCGAGACAGTTTCTCCAATATATTCGTAGGATAAGTGTTCAGTGTGTCTTTAAGCTGTTAATTATAGACAAACACACATTAAACCATCCCACTCCCAGGACTGCTTCTGGTGTAATGCGATTGAAAGGTACTAATTTGATCACATCAGGGAAATGTCTACAAGATCTAAAGCCGAGAGAAGTGTGAATGTAACAAAGACTACCTTTGCCAATGGCTGGTCGTCCTGCATCCCAAAAGGATAATGGTTGATCATCATCAGTCAACCCAGGACGAAATTGTCCTACATAACGTTCAAGACCAAGGGACGGAGCAATTACCCAATGGCCCCTGCACAAGTCCTGAAGAGGAAGGGGCGTCGCGGTCCCAAAGGTCTAGTTCGGAATCAAGTAGTTCCAGTAAGAAATCAAGACTTAAAAAACTATCCCGTAAAGGAGCAAGCATATTGCCAAATAACAGCAACTGGCGTCGGTTGCGGACCACGCTTAAAGTGGCGAGCGAAATGCAGACTCAAAAGAAGAAGGGAACACTGGAGAGGCAGGATTCATTTCTGAGGAAATTCTCTACAAGGAATCAACGAGTGGATGAGTGTTCGGATGATGAGGATAAGAAACCTAGTTACTGGCGTCCTGCTAAATCCCGGCGTCATTTTGTGATTCAACATGACGGGAAATTTATGTTCTACTGGCTTGGTGTGATGACCGTGGCTGTTCTGTACAACATGTGGACGTGTATAGCCAGAGAAGCGTTCAGGGAAATTCAGTCAGGATGCAATTATTGTTGGTTTACGATGGATGCGTTTGTGGATCTTCTTTACCTTCTGGACGTCCTGGTTCAGTTTAGAACAGGATACCTAGATCAAGGACTGATGGTCTATGATTCCAAAAAGCTAGCTAGGCGATACTTGAAGTCACGCACCATATACTTTGACACGTTGTGTCTTATACCCACGGATCTGATTCAGTTTTATATAGGGATTCATCCAATGATTCGATTTCCACGATTCCTCAAAGTGTACAGAACCTTCCGTTTTATTCATATGCTGGAATCCAAGTCAGCCTATCCTAATTTTTTCCGTGTGGCCAATTTGTCACATATGCTATTCCTTGGAGCGCATTGGTTTGCAGCATTTTATTACCTAATATCTGAAGCAGAGGGTTTCGTCGGTGGATGGTCCTACCCAAGACCCGAAGGGGAGTACGCTTCAGTGACCCGGAAGTACTTAGCTTCGCTTTTCTGGTCGACTTTGACCTTGACAACAATAGGTGACCTTCCACCCCCGGATACCAACTGGGAGTAAGTACCAAACACAAATTGTGCGCCTTCTTCTTTTTCTTCCGTGATGCATGTATCATATAACTTCCGTATCGCATGGATGATATTCACGATTCACATTCAATTTTTTTATATAATCACATATATATTTCTCTGTGTTCTTTCAAAGTATGTACTTTAAACGGATGTACTCTATGGACCGCCCACCTTATCTTCCGGGATATATAGAAGGTATAAAAGGTATTAAAAGGTATTAAAAGGTGTAATTTCAAGAAATTTCCCAAAACGTTTATTTGAAAGAAAAGGTAGAAGATAAAAAGGTCGGTCTGTTGTAACTGTATTTGTGTTATGCCAAAATATGTACACAGAGCGGGACATACAATATTACCCCGATGAAGCTGTTATTAGTGAATGCAGTTGTCAAACAAAGATGTAGGTAGACTGTTAGGTGTATGACAAACTGTACGTGATGAGCGTTCATTTTCAGTTGTGGACACGATGCCTCCTAAAGTTCAATATATTATACATGCATTTTAATACATAAATACTTCTGTGTAATAACCCATGTCCAATTTATTCCCAATACAAGCATCCTTTTTTTCTCAATCAAACACAGCACCACGCTGAACCATATTAAAAACGGCATATTTTATAAAGCTGCATTAATTTTACAGTTTTATACGTGCATGAATGTATGTTCTTGGATGCATGCATGCATTATGCCCGTTAGATGCAACTGTTAGCTCATTGAGACGCTTATACTTGAGAATTTATGAATGTGTGGATGTTTCATAGGTTTTAAGAAGACACTTAAAAATATTATTTTTTTAATTTCCCAAACTGTCAGGGTAGGTATAATGTCTGGTTATAGTTTCCATATTAGGTTGCACATTTGCGAAAGAAATTCGTCTTTCGGTTATGTTTTCTGCAGTTTGATATAGGGAATATTTGCTTGAATGTGATGTATAATTTAAATGTAGACAAGTCAGGAGAACCAAAGGTATTTTTATTCGAGCCTTCTGCTTAATCCAAATACTATCGGATTGTATCATCTGGTACAACATTAGCTTGGTAGGAATTAGAATACCGATATTGTAAGAAATTCAGCTTTATTATCTAGTATGATAAGGTGATGCTGATACGATGTGTTGGCAAGGAACATTTTGTAACATACAGGCATAAAACACACACAGACACACAAATACAGACAGACAGAATCACACAAAACACACACAGACACACACACAAACAGACAGACAAACACACAAAACACACAGACACACAAATACAGACAGACAGACAGACACACACACACACACACACACACACGGGTATTCAATCTCAATGACTTGATGCAATTACAGTAGCAATGACCTGATGCTCATGATATCAGTCATTGGATACCTGGCCCAGATTCAGTTATGTACACACCGGCGCCATATGACAGAAATGATGCTAAATGCGGCGTTAATCTTGACAACACAGCGTTAATTACTGACACAAACACAAACTTACACAAAGTAAACGCAATGAAAGATGATGCTATAGTGCTAATACTACTCATATTATGTCAAATACATACTGTATACAGAGAGTCTACAGGAGAATACACACCTTGTTTACTGAACAATACACCTTATGTTATGACTGTATAGTTAATGCACAGGAACAATACTGATGCTAATGGCTGCTAATGTTTCTTCACAAGGCTAATGGACAGTGAAGTTCATGGACGTGTTTGAGAATATGTACCAGGTCGTTCAACTTTTAACACTTAGCCACTTACTGTTTACATATACTTGAGTCAGATAATGTCAGTTTGTTGGGAGAAACAAATGCTGATCAATTGATTAGTTAACGGGAATTAGGCGTCGGGGTCATCTGCCATGTGTAATAGATCACCAGGTGCTATATATGTGGCTTCTTTCGTCTGTAATGAGGCTGCCTATTCAGTGAGTAAGCCAGTAAGTGCGGATTTACGCCGCTTTAAGCAATATTCTACTTCAGGGAACACCAGACATGGTCTTCACACATTGCACTCATAACAGGAATCGAACGTTTCAACCACAAACCTGCCCGTCGCCTTCATTTAATGGTAGATTGATCTGGGTCCCGATTCACAAAGCGTTTATAACGTTACGACCTGTCGTAACTCTTTAGTTTATCATAGACTTACGGATGTTTTAGTGCTAAGAGCGTTTTGTGGATCGGAACCAAGGGCCCCGTTCCTCAAAGCGATCGTAGCGCTACGACAGTCGTACGTCTATGTTACAGTATGGGAGTTACGATCATGTTACGAACGTTTTGTGGATCGGGACCCAGGATGGTAAAACGTAGGACACATATGATCTTATTCGAACTTACAAAGACTACCACTTTACCCGCCCGTGAAGGTCCGGGTTAGAATGTACCTTCAGCAACCCATGCTTATCGGAAGAGGCGACTAACGGGATCGGGTGGTCAGGCTCGCTGACTTGGTTGACACATGTCATCGGTTCCCAATTGTGCAGATCGATGCTCATGCTGTTGATCACTGGGATCACTCGATTATTTACAGACCGCCGCCATATAGCTGGAATATTGCTGACTGCGGCGTAAAACTAAACTCACTCACTCACCACTAGACCCCAGCCTGGTCCAATGTTCAAACGTCAGTCAGGGGGGCATGACTTTTGGGGGATTTGTTTTTGTAAAATCTAAACTCACAATTTAATTACAATTGCTTGTGATGCCTAACATGATTTGTACAGTATATGTTATCAGTTCTACATGTATCATATTGGTTCTCTACTTATACCTGAATATTAGATGATATATTTGGAACTTTTATATATTCAATATGGCCTTATCTATAAGCATGAGCATGTGTCAGAATACTATTTTCCAAACTACACATAATTGCATAACATTTCTTTCGCTAATCAAAATTATTTTAATCGTGATGCAGTACAGAAATGCTATGCATGGAAATTGCATGAAATTAACCTCTTTATTATATTTATGTGTATAGGATCTGGGATTTGACGTCTTGCTTAACTCAAATTTAGCACAATCGACTCTCGAAAGGTTTGCTGTAGATCTGGAGAATGATATAGAATTTGGGGAAAAGACATTTTCAACATCGAGGGTAGACTGTCAGATCTGCAGCAAATGTTTACATTTTTATTAATTATTAACACATATTTCCGTTTCCAACATGTCCACAATAGAATATTTCAAATTTACATTCAAAACAACAAAGACCTTTCAAATCATTTTTATCGTTATTTGATTTTTTTTTAATTACCTTTCGACGTTTCGTGACATGAGACCAAGGAAACATTGAACCATTACACTATTAGCCCAATACAGTTATCGTAGACAACCAGGGGCGATGGGGTAGCCTAGTGGTTAAAGCGTTGGCTCGTCACGCCGAAGACCCGGGTTCGAATCCCCACATGGGTACAATGTGTGAAGCCCGTTTCTGGTGTCCCCCGCCGTGATGGTGCTGGAATATTGCTAAAAGCGGCGTAAAACCAAACTCAGTCAGTCAGTCAGTAGACAACCAACGCGATGTAATGGACGTAGCAACTGCGCGGTGAACGGAAGGTCGGCGGTTCGATCCCTGGCTTGTAAGATGCAACGTGCTTGTTGTTTCCTTGCCTGGTGCTCGGCGTTAGTGTGATATAAGTGGATAAAACTACAACACTGTGTCGGTGTTGGGATATTACTCGATATATAAGTAGAATAGTGATGGTAACTGAATACACACATTCAGTCACACACACACGCACACGCGCACGCACACACTACATGCATACAGGCCACTCGTTCACCCTCACACCACATACATACCACACACACACCATACACACTCACATGCATAGAGACCACTCTCACACCACAGACATATCACATACACACGCCACACACAACACCACACTACAAACACAAAGTATGAATAGAAATCACTCACACATCTCACTACATACACACAAATCACTCATCCGAGCGCGCGCGCGCACACACACACACACACACAAACATACCATACCACACACACAAACAAACAAACATACGTACATACATTTGTGCATACAAATTCAATAATCTTGACCGCATTAAATCCCCTTTCACATCACAACCGCCCTTAAATAGTGTCGCGATGAAGGAAGGATACAATAATACAATAACATGTAGCAGGGACTTGAACATACTGCTAGTTGTAGTCACCGGAACATCTCACTATGTTTTCAGACGCACTACAAAAATGGACATATAATTATTTTTACGAAACATAACAGCAAGACAATAAGACATCATAATCCACGTTAATCCAGAACCTCAACAAACCAGCCTATTACTTCCGGAAAACATGTATTATATGGATACTACTTCCAGCCCAAGAGACCCGTGAAGGTCCGGGTTAGAATGTGCCTTCAGTAACCCATGCTTGTCGTAAGAGGCGACTAACGGGATCTGGTGACTTGGTTGACACATGTCATCATATATCAACTGTGTAGGTCGATGCTCATGCTGTTGATCACTGGATTGTCTGGTCCAGACTCGATTATTTACAGACCGCCGCGATATGGCTGGAATATTGCTGAGTGCGGCGTAAAACTAAACTCACTCGCTCACTCCAACCCAAGATTCGTTAAACCGGAACTCTTAAACAGTATTGTTTGCGTGAACGTGGGTTGACCACATTCTATCACATCCAAAGATCAAATCTAAAAGTCAAACATGGCTTTCAAAATTCTGTTTATCATTCCTGTCATGCCAAGTATCTAAATTATTTTGTTTCATCTGGTAATTAACCTTACTGTAGTATTTTACACCATATATTAAATGTCGTATTTAATGTAGCTGAATATCATTAAACGGTCATCATATTGCATCCATAATGAGATTGTTGAATTGATATGTTTAGTTCAACAGAACAAACATAATCCTATCAGCTAATTACTACAGTCCGTTTGGCTCAAAAGCGGACCGATGAATTGCAATCTAACTCGAAAACTTATAAACATAAAATACTCAATGAAACTGATCATAATGAAAACGTCAGACCAACTCTGAAAGGTGTTTGCAGAATTTATGTCCTAAAAATAAAAAGTTGTTTAACAAACTATCATTAAAATATCGACACAGTTCACTATTTGTTACGAGGGAGGAGTGCAGAGAAAGGGACAGCCGGGTGTGCGAGAAAGGATGGAGACGGTGCAGCACAGGTTGATGAATCAATAACTTTGTCGGTACTTGTGCACGTGCTTCTCTAACACCTGACTGTCCCTTTCCCTGCACTCCTCCCTCGTAACAAATAGTGAACTGTGTCAATATTTTAATGATAGTTTGTTAAAATACTTTTCAAATTTTAGGACATAAATTCTGCAAACAAATCACAGAGTTGGTCTGATATTTTGATTATGGTCAGCGTTTCATTGTGTATTATATGTTTATTAGTTTTTTAGTTAGATTGCAATTCATCGGTCCGCTTTTGAGCCAAACGCATCTAACTGTACAGGTATTCCACTGTATGTCTACATGGTTATATACAGATACATGATGAAAAATACAGAAACCTTGCGGCTGATCTTCAGTCTGAAGAACAGTTGACAACAGACATCACAGACATTTTACTCCTTCACTGATGCACAAATGATGCGCATAGAACCAGCGCATGTTTTGTGCAATAATATTAAAACAATGTGGCTGATATTTTAACATTTTACCTTTCTATTCGTTTTATTCAGTCAGGAATGTTGATGAACCGTGGCTAACGTCTCGGCAGGTGAATTATTTAGTTTAACCCGATTACCCTCCATCGTCTGTGACGCAGTCGCTCACTCCCGGCACCGAGTGCCCGCTACTTTGAAGAAGAACCGTTATATACATTCTGGATGTTTTGCTGATAGTTACTAACCTTTGATAGTGCTTATGTCAAATTGATTTATGTTCTTCTACTCGCATGGATATATTACAGGCACATTTTGTTTTTATGGAAATTCAATATTTTTTTCAATCGACCCAGAAATCAGTGACCCACATATTCAACTGAAAGCGGTTTTGTATGGTAATATTACTGTCTCTTAACATGCAACAAAAAATATTTTTTTTGGTTGAGTTTTTAAGAAAAGCCTCGTTCCCTTTGATTAACTCAAATTTTCCTCAAATATGAATATATTGTATATTTTGAAATATTGATGAGTATGTATGATCAATAAATATTGTAATAGTATCAGTAGCTATCAGTGTTATGGAACTTAACTTTTTGAAAAGTAAATAAGAAAAAAAAGATTTATCGGCTTCTTGCATATAAATCCAAGGTATCTGTAGTAATGGCTTAAGTGAAATAGTTGAACGCTTTTTATATTTTGTTTTTTCTCGTGAACTGAATATACACAAAGTTTAGTTAACACAGAGTTTAGTTGTCATATCTGTCAAGATGTAGATGAAGCACTGCACATTGTTATATGCATTGCATACTTTAAGCATGTGAATCAACACATATTACTGTACCAGTACCTTCAGCATCCATGCTTCATAGAAGTAAATAGTGACATAGAGGTCGACGATGCTTCAACGTAAGCTTATAAATATAATGTTGACTTCCGCAAAACATTAACATTTAAATTTTAAAATGGTTACAATTGTGTGTACAATTAGAAAGCCTTTTAAGGCGTCAAATATTTCTCGAGCATTTCTTACAAACCGATAATAAATCAGATCACATTGTATGAAATTAAACTGAAGTGAATGTTTGATACTATATGTAGTTTATACTATTGAAGAATAGCTTAAAATATTGCTTAAATTTACCTTTACAATAGCTTATACATTAGTTTAAGAAAATAATAGTAATTTGAATCAACAACTGGCCGAGGAATATTTAATGAATGAAGAAGATGTGACATGACAATTTCTGGCATTGTCTTTACTGGGTTAGTGACTTTTCTTTGTGGATTACTGTAGCAATAGGTGCATTGATCTCACCCTTCTTCTAGCTCTTATTTAGCTTGTAGAACCCTCTTAGAAATCTCTACTACGCCCAAACCGAGTTGCTGAGCACTGTAATGTTTTTTTGTTGCAGCTGGCAAATGTCAAACGTTGCGTAAGTAATGGGAAATCGCCCAGGGCCGCCAGTTTTGTGTTGACCACGCCCCTCTGTGTCTCACACGCCACTGTGTAGTTGATCCTGTCTCTGTCACTCATTTCATCTTGTCCTTCACCATTGTACTTGTCGTTACGCTTTGGTTATGCCCCTGTGTTGGTCATCTATTGAAATTGCGGGGGCATTCAGTTGTATTTTGTATGCAGGAAAGCGAGAGCGAGACACGTGTTACCAGATTTCCAGCAAATGCGCCCCAACTTGCATGAATAAAATTGCACTTATAAAAATACTTTGTGAAAGAGCAATGCATAACCTTTGAGCAGTCCCACTTTAGCAAACCTGTGAGTGTTCTACTGGAATAATCTTCAATGTGAATGGTATTCTTAATATCGAGGCCTCATTCAGCAGACAAGTTGCAAACGTCTATGCATGGTACATGCATAAAAGGCCACTTAGAAGTACATGCACAATACACACAGTCGTGTATCTGCACGCTCCCATCTTCACTGCTTTCGACAAAAAATGTAGGTATGCACTTTACATGCATTCTCCCCTTAAATGCATTTTTATGTATTTGGACACATATCCAGCCAGATCCATCCATTGTATTAAATATATGCATGAAAATGCATATGTATTCCTTAAATGAGTAAATTCAGCAGAGAGGTACACATACATACAATATAAATATGCACAAGCTCATTGATGCATGCCGTTGCATGCCCACGTTCACGTGCTTCTAGCATGTATTTATTCACTATGTAAACATGAACACAGTCCTTCACCGAGTGTATTTCGTTACCTATGCATGCATAATATATGTACCCGCATGTGTGTATCCTAGCTGCATCTATTACGCGAACAAACACCTTAGGTACACAATGTGAATCTTACAAATGCAGCACATATGTACCTTCCACTCACAAGCATTAGGTATCGTTGTAGACGCATGCACGTGTCATATATTGCATCTTACACATGCCCCACATATATACCTTCCGCTCACACAAACATCAGGTCTCGTTGTAGACGCATGCACGTGTCATATATTGCATCTTACACATGCCCCATATATACTTCCGCTCACACAAACATCAGGTCTCGTTATAGACGCATGCACGTGTCATATATTGCATCTTACACATGCCCCATATATATAACTTCCGCTCACACAAACATCAGGTCTCGTTGTAGACGCATGCACGTGTCATATATTGCATCTTACACATGTCCCATATATATAACTTCCATCCACACAAACATCAGGTCTCGTTGTAGACGCATGCACGTGTCATATATTGCATCTTACACATGCCCCATATATATACATTCCGCTCACACAAACATCAGGTCTCGTTGTAGACGCATGCACGTGTCATATATTGCATCTTACACATGCCCCATATATATTCCTTCCACTCACACAAACATCAGGTCTCGTAAACGCATGCACGTGTCATATATTGCATCTTACACACGCATCACATATATACTTTCCGCTCACACAAACATCAGGTCTCGTTGTAGACGCATGCACGTGTCATATATTGCATCTTACACATGCCCCATATATATTCCTTCCACTCACACAAACATCAGGTCTCGTAAACGCATGCACGTGTCATATATTGCATCTTACACATGCACCATCTATATATACCTTCCACTCACACAAACATCAGGTCTATATCGTTGTAAACGCATGCACGAGTCATATATACCTTCCACTCATACAAACAGCAGGTCTTGCTGTAGACGCATACACGTGTCATATATTGCATATCTCATTACCTCTCAAAAACACCGACACGAAAGACAAAAAATCACATTCATAATACATGAGCGTTAAACAGTAAAACGCCATGCACATTTCTTAGGTCTTACACGCGTCGTATATACACCGTTGCAATATATGCACTGAAAAGACATGCTCTGCATCTACACGTGTTCCAACCATGTGCACGTATGGTGTAAGGATGCGTATATTCTACATGTGTGCATGAATTTATTTCTGAGTTTCACAGCGAGGTCACACTTAACATGTGTTCTGTCACTATAATCGTAGGATTTAAAATCTTGCAGTAAATATTTACAACAGATATACAGGCATTTAGTAGGTAAGTGTTTTCGACATTTAATAGGACGTAACTAGGACGTGCATTTCCACCCACACACTACTCAAAAGGTTTTATAAGGGCCTCCGATTGTTTCATATTGTTGTAGTTCATCCGTCGTTACAGATTAACGATATTAATATGGACAAAGTGAGGGTCCTAATTTTTTTCAGCAGTATAAGTTACTCATAAGGTGATACCTTTCTAAAGCAGTATACTCAGAGGAAAGTATAGAATGACAATGTCAATGGCAATGAAAATACTTTATTACCCTTGGGGAAATTCTTTTTACATTTGAAAGTGATCACATGATTAAATATTAAAAATGACATAAGCTTAAGAACACACAAAACAACACAAGAGACAAACAAACTTAACAATCATCTAAAAGGCGAATACTTGCTGGAATAAAGGAAATTTGAACTCTTTTTGTTTTAAAACGGGGCATTTGGAACAAATAATTTCTGTACTGTGCCACCATCTTTAAAACTCCACGTCTATGAAAAAAACCATCTTGCCACTTGAGTGTTCAGTCAGCCGCTATAATGGCATAGATATATTTTTAAAGCAATATATTCAGAAGAACGTATAGAACAAAAAATTCAATACGTGTTCCACCTTTTTCAAAACTCCACTTCTAGAAAAACATTTTGCCACTTGAGAGTTCAATCAGGTTTGCTGTCCAGCCCTGCTTGTCAAATAACTACAAAATCAGTCAGTCCTACGAAAGGTGCCTGGAGGAACATTTGCAGATTAGGTAAAACGCGTCTGATTGAACATGCCTCAGCAGAAACTTTTTATGATTGTGGAAATGTGTTTTGTAGCTAATTTTTACGTTGATCTGAAAGTACTGCCCTGAATATCTTAACTGATCATAAAGGAAAAACCCTCTTCTTGTAAATAAAAGTATGAATATAAACGACATTTTCTTGTAAACAAACCCATAACCTTTACATTTTCTTTGTAATTTATTATATAGGTTGGTGATAATCGTGAATTTCTAGGAAGCCATGTTCTTTCCGTCGAGTTTAACAGTTCACAGTATGTGTCTTTTCTGCACTTCTTTGCTGAAATATAATCTGTCTTTGCTCTAATACAATCTCTCTTTACTGAAATAAAATGTCTAAATAGTATAAATCACGCGCAGACTGACAAATTAAGAATATTAAAATTTAGTCCGGAATCTTGTTTAAATTATATTCCTATCATGTTTTCTAACATTTAAACGTAGATAAGATCTAATATCCATATATCATCTTTAATTTATGCTGGTTAAAATATCATCTTAAAATCTACCCACATATTAACACTGATAGACTACTATGATAGTTTAGTGTAGTATACGCTAGGTGTATATTTTAATCATGTCACGAAACGTATGTAATGTGACCGTGAGCCCTTACAGCCTCATTCAGTCTAGTATGTCACCTAGTAGAGCTCAAGAGATCATGTTACCATAAGTACTGACATTTCCAAATACATCACTTCAAGTTTCGCGAGAGAAACATTTAGATAATATAAACATTGACATTTCATCGACATCATTTCAAAATGAATATGCAAGCCTAACACAGACAGGTTGGTTGTATTCCCGGCTAATGAGAGATGTTCCTTTTATTTATCTGAAACAGAAGTCAACACACGAAGAAGACAAACCGTCCTTGCTTCATGCTATCATGTATCAATCCAACGCCTTAACTATATACCGTCCTGTAATTAAAGGCTATCAACAGGGGCGAGAATCGGTCCTGGTTGTTGAAGTTTAATAAGTTTCTCAATTTTACGTAAACATCTAATGCTAGATATGTAGTTAGTTTATTGACAGAATGGGTAGCATAAACTAACACACAAAACAGCTTTTCACGATAAGGCCATTTTGGATTCATTTAATCTGTATATACCAAATTGACAAAAAGTTAATTGCATTTAGCATTTTTTTCTTTCCAATTGTAAAATGTGGACTTACAATATCGTGCACGTATATATGTCAATGGTGTGTCAAAATAGGGAAATGTAAACAGTAGATACAAATTATGGACAGCAATCTCTTCTATGCCATTATAGCAACGTGTCAGTATAGAGTCCAATACCGTTTCCAAGTGCCTCTCACTAACAAACCCTGCAAGAAACGGCAGAAGAATCTATACCGAAACTTTACAATGAGTCTATATTAAAGATGCTGTCCACACTAAATTGTGTCTACTTTGTCAACGAACAATAAAGTTCAATTAAAGATGGCATTAAAAGTGTTTCTTCTCAATATCCACTGTTTCATGAAATATACATTGTGTGAATATATCTTTGAGAATTCTCTTTCTTATACATTTTGTTTCTCTTCTGCAATACCTAAAATATGCAAAGTATGCAAGCTTTAAAAGTACTGAGACTGATACAAGAAAAAGCATTAATGCAATTAACTTGGAGAAAGGTTTTCACGACCCATGACATTTGGAAATTCTTACTGGGCAAGTAGGACTCTAATCACACTTCATCGTCATCCAGTTCCAAAACCTGTATCATGACAAGGAGCGGCATGCCTATTAGATGTGTGCTTGTGGGCAGAACTGCATGTTACACGCCCTGTTGTGGCTGAAGTTTGATGTGGTCGATATTCAATCAGCATGGTAAAAGAAATGTATGGGTGTTCATTATTCGGTACTTGAATTCGAACCATTGATTCCGGTGTATTTGTGAAAGAAGTCAGTTCGATGTTGTCGTGTTGGTTGTGTTTGTGGTAATGGTGATTTAACTGCTGTTGTACACGTCTGTGCTGTCGATAGTAACGTTCATTGTTGTTTCCCTTCGACGTGGCTCTGAACTTAACTTCAGAATTTATCGTTGGAAGACGACTCTGTAAGGGAGAGAACAGATGGATGTCAACTTCCTTATTATGAGATCCGCAACGTGTTTAGCTCCTTCGTCGGGGGAATTATGGTCCACACGTTCATTCAAATGATGAGGAGAAAGGTTATTCATGCTGAATTTATGGATGTAAACTTCTTCATTATGAGATCCGCAATGTTTTTAACTCCTTCATCGGGAGAATGATGGTCCACACGTTCATTCAACTGATGAGGAGAAAGCATATAAATGCTGAATTTATGGATGTCAACTTCTTTATTATGAGATCCGCAACGTTCTTGAGCATATACTAACTCCTTCATCAGGATAACGATGGTCCTCACGTTAATTCATGTGATGAAGAAGCAGACATATACATACTTAGTTTATGAATGACAACTTCTTCATTATGAGGAACGACACATTTTGGATGTTATACTATCTCTTTTTATCGGCTGAATGACTCTAAGCCTTCATTCAACTGATAAAGGAGTACATGCATGCTTAATTTATGAATGACAACTTCTTCTTTATGAGATCTGCAACGATTTGGATTATATACAAACTCCTTCATCAGGCGAATGATGGTCGACACTTTCATTCAGCCGCTGAATGAGCATACTTGATTCAGGGATGGCAACGCCTTCTTAATGAAAACTGCATCATTCTGGGTTATATGCAGACTCCTTTGGTGAAATCAAGATTAAACACATTCTCAAAAACGTTGCGTTCCTCATAAGAAAGACGTTGACATCCATAAATTTTCCCCTTCTGTTTGTCAATTCTAAATGCCATTCAAAGAATCGACTACTCTTATATCAAGTCATGACACACATAATTGTACACCCTTATTACCGCCTGTCTGGTATAGATTTTCTACACTGCAGCCTATTGTGGTTATTGTAATGGATTAACATTTTGCAGATTGTCCCAGTGTTTACAGCTATTGTCATAGCTAAGAAAGGCAAGGGTATTCACGTAGGATGGAGCAGTTTCATTTGACGCCACTTCGATCACGGCGTGTGAGCTTGCTGTGGCAGGAGAAGACGAACTGGTGTAGTTTCTAGACGTTTACCACTTATAAAAATCCATGGGTATGACGAACCTATAAATTTAGCACTGAAGAACTTTTTCTACTTTAAGATCGCATTTCACGAACGGGACATCTGCAAAATGTTAGCCGTTACATTATTTACATATACGAAAAGGCGAGTAGTCTTACATTGCAGATCCAAATGTTCAACAGGTATATTTATTTCTGATAAAATGTATTCTATGGTCAGCTATTTATTTACAGAGAAACTCTTCCTCCCAAGGAGCAGTCGACTGAGATATACATCATACAATATTTCATGTATGTTTACATAAACGTGTATCCCATAACAATTATTCCATACAAAAATTGTGACATCCTGATGTTTCTTTATGTTTTCAGATATGTTTTTGTTATCGTGAGTTACCTCATTGGAGTCTTTATATTCGCTACAATCGTAGGTGAGTCCGACGAAGCGTACAATGATATTGTAATAAAAAACAGTCTTTGGTAAATTTTCTGATTATATATTATATTATCTTATATGATTGAGTGAGTGAGTGTCGCTGAGTCAGTGACAGAGTGGAAGAGTGGGTGAACGAGGGAGAGAATGAGTTCGATTCAATGCGCTTTGAACATTATTCCTGTTATATCATTCACTCTTGTATATACATGCCATGCGAAGCTGAATTGGTTTGGAAGAAAACCTTATCTCTCTCAATTTTGATGATGACTCGTAATGAAACTTTTTAATATTGCTTGACTAACTGCATAATGGCTCATACAGTTTCTACGAAGCAGGACAACTGCAGTAACTGACTGACTGGCTGACTGAGTTTGGTTTTACGCCGCTTTTAGCAATATTCCAGCACCATCACGGCGGGGGACACCAGAAATGGGCTTCACACAATGTACCCATGTGGGGATTCGAACCCGGGTCTATGGCGTGACGAGCGAACGCTTTAACCACTAGGCTACCCCACCGCCCCTGTAGTAACTGAGGAAGACATAGATGTCGATGTCAGTTTTGACATTTTCTGTAACTTTATTCTCTTAATTTCAGGTCAGGTCGGCAACGTGATAACAAACAGGAATGCCAGCAGACAGGAATTTGAGAGATTGCTGGTAAGAACTGGAAATTTCCAATATTCAATCCCTCATCATTACTGACTTTCGTTGTTTCCAAAGTTGCTGGGATAGTTTTATTTATTGAATATTTATGACAATATGTAAAGAGTGAGCCAATATCGTTTAGGAAAACCTACGAGTTGTGATTTGTTTTTGGTCAAAAGCTTTATAAGAGAATTGGTCATACATTGATTTACCAAATGTAAAGCAGACAGGCTTTTGGCATTGCCTGTGACAATCAGTTGATGGAATGAGCTTTCTCGCTCAGCCAGACGCTGATCATTTCATTTCTCATATATACAAGCACCAGTACGCCGATTCTCAATTGGATGATTGGATAGCGCTGTGTTCCTCCACTCAGTTCGACCTAAATCTGCCAAAATGAATGGTACTTCCATCAAACTATTAGACCCACTAACCAAACTATTCAAGTCTACTGGATACTCAATAACTATCAGAGTCATTAGGACGTCGTTGTAGCACTATAGGAGCAGTTGCTGTCGTTACTGAAACGCACAGGCAAGGTCTGTTGGTTTGGTGGAAGATGTCAGTTAGGATCTCCCCGTGGTAAATGACCTCATATCCACCGAACAGATCCCTGCATTCGAGTTGTCTTTGCGCAATCACATGGAACCCAGATTGTCAATACGAACGTTCTTGAAGGCAGAAGAAATTTAATCAACGGTTTTCTAGCGATGATGAGTCTGTTGACCTCCCTATATGGTATTAGTCTGCATATAATGCTGATAGGAGCGTTTATCAATACAGGTTGTGCTGACAAGGATTCCATGTTCGATTCGCGTTATTTTCCTTTGTTCGAATTGACCTGAACTGCCTCTCAGGATTTGGCTGATTGATTGGATATACTCCGATAATTACCTAGATGCTTTAGCCGATAACCGATCTGAGGCTCAACCTTCACCGTTAATGTCAATGAATGTCTATGATGACATACAACCTTGATTCCTTCATGATAGTCTTGGTGTCAGGGATAGTTCAGTGCATAAATCCAGGTTTGGTGTCATAATGAAACAAATCTATCTCTCGCTTAGACATCTTCAACACTGAATGACTATTTATTTTACCAACGTTCTCAGCTGACAAGTGTACACGACAGTGTGTGAGTGAGTGAGTATTGCTTAACGCCGCATCAGTAATTCTGCAGCTCTACACGACAAACTGCTGCAAATGAATAATGTTTGAAACTTTCTACATCATGCAATAATGCTGGGCATCGGGGTTTTAGTATAAACATATTTTATTCACTAAAGAAAAAAAGTTTGGAGCCATGTTCTTTGAACTTATGAAACCCAAGAATATGTACAATAACAACTCCCTTCAAAAGCAACATTAGAAACAGACACAAAGTAAGGCTGACAGTGAGGGGGAAATATTATACCGCAAAGGGTACAGTGTGAGAAAACTACTGGTATCTTGTCATTAAGTTTTATTATAAAGATAAACATTCCTTAATAAATTATATCTGTAATACCAGAGGAAAGGGGAAGTAATGTTAATCACAGAATTACAACACATGGAATAGCTTTAATCATAATTTTTCTATAGTCTTTATTTAATGAACACTCAAAGAAATAATGATGAGCTTTTTCACATGGGCGACCAGATTTACAGGATGGATCTGTAATTAACCCTACCCTGTGAAAGTCGTACCTTATCTATAAGCCGTATGAAGTATTTGCGTAAATAGTATGTTAAGATTTTTAATACTGTCAGATAAAGTACAATGGTGTTGAGGTACTGGATGGTTTTATGCTCGATCTGAATTTTGATAACGAAATACAATGTCTTACTTCAGAAGAGTCTTGTGATGGCTTGATTCCATGTTGAAACAAATATGCCCAACACTTAAAAATTTTCTTTTATGAACACACAACTGTTTATCACTACGTACGTTTTAGTTGACACGTGTACGGTGCAAATACTACTGCAGACTACTGCAAATAAATAATGTTTGCAGCGTGCTCGGTCTTTCTATTCTACTGTATATATGTGGTTTCGACTACACATCAATTTCGCTCTCACTTTAGAAATTTGTCCTTGATGTAAGGATTTGGAGACCAGGGTCAGCTTGTATTATGAGCAAAGTCAGCGTCAATCAATTTCTGACGTCTATGCTGCAGATATAGTACACATCCAATCGATTCGCCTTGGACAAGCACCCAGGAACTAATATTTCAGCCCGTGTCTTTAGCCAGGATCTGTCACAACCGACAAAGAGTCGGCCTAGCTGATTAACTAGTCTTGAGACCGCTACCTGAACCTACTAATTACAGCGTTTGATAGCTATTCGGTCCCAGAAAATCTATCTGATTAAGTGTAATTGGCCGTGCTAAATGAATTAGAAATCGTTCGACACGCTTTGCTTACAGGTTGACATCGTATTATGTTTATATCTGTCATACTGCGTTGAAATCGCCATGGATAGTTTCAGAGTTCAGTTTGATGGAGACGAAAAGAGAATTAAATGGTAATGAGCTTTGGTATTGTACAAGCTGTCTTCGCAGGATGTCAGTCAGGTCTTCTATTTATAGCATATTAAACGTGGTATTTTTTATCATTTTCTCTTTTCCCCCATAAAATTCTCACAAAGTAATGCGTGTCATATCGAGTTATTTGAAACGTTAATAATTTAGTGATTTGGGACCTAACATATTGAAATATACTGAGGGAAACAAATAAGGGAACACCACACCATAGCAGTGTTCCTTTGTTTATTCTCAGATTTTCTCCCACAGCGCTTTTCAAGGCTGGTGATGAAAACTGGAAAATATTAAAGGAACGCTTGAATTTTCCTTTGTTCCGTTATTTGTTTCTCTAAGTATATGTTTTGAATCGTGCATAAATTTATGAATGCTTTCACATATTAGCCATTTACATGGAATTTGTTTCGTTTTTTTCAGGATGGCGCTAAATTGTATATGCAAACCCATAACGTACCTCCTGATCTTCAAAAACGTGTCCAGCGTTGGTACGACTACGTGTGGTCCAGGTACACTTGTTTTTTAAGTCAATTAGCAATAGTCCATCAATATCACGCCGGGGGTCACCAGAAATGGGCTTCACACATTGTACCCACGTGGGAAATCGAACTCGGGTCTTCAGCGTGAGGAGCGGATGCTTTAACTGTTAGGCTACCCCACTGCCCCTTACAACCAAATGATGAGAAGCATATATGTTACAGTCAGATTGTGAAATCAGTCATTTCGTGAAATGACTAAAAATTTCAGTCATTTCATGAAATAACTACGAGAGTCAGCCATTCAACTATCCCTTCTGCTCGTTCTTCTTCTTCCTGGGTTAACCTTGGCATTCTCTCTGTGTGACTTTATGTGCAGTGATATTGCAGTGTTGTATTGGTCATTTATACTGATTTTTCGCACGATCTTTCCCATGTATCCGACTAAGACATGTGTTTCTTGTTTCTGAGAGTCGGGGCTACAAAATGCGTCTTGGCGATTTATTTCGTGCATCACGAACATTGGCAATCGTTATCAAGCACATTTACATCAAATTTGATGGAGACGTCCAAACCTATTTATATAGCCAATAGCAAAATGGCTGATCGTCTTAGTCATTTCACGGTAACATATATACAAAGTATGTTTTGACAAACAGCAGATGACATGGTGTACTACCCATCAATGGTTTAGACTCACTTAAAGCACTCATTATATGTTATGCATATATGTGTGGTGACATCGAGGATGAGTTTCTAAACTAACTTTGGGGAACCAACTGCAAACTTTATGCAGATGAATTGCACGAGGATCATGTATTAAATTGCTAAAAAGCATGTGCAAATATTGTGTATGTGAACAGCTGTGTTGTGTAAAATTTTGTTAAAAATTCGCCAATTTTTACTCAGTTTCATCATGTTTTTAACTCATGACAATAATCTTTTCAACGTTACGAATTTGTTTTACAATACATCAGTTCATGTGTAAACAGTATCTTTAAACGGTATTGAAAATTTTGCAAAATCTAGTTTAGAAGAGTTGACTTAAGTAAGTGGCTATATTTACACTAGTGAGTTTGAACTTTGGAGTATATATTTTGACAAACAGATTAACATTAACAACAGCATGTAAGCATGTAATTGAATAACAACTGGTACGTAATTGGAAGAGGCCAGTTTGGGAATAAGAAGTACAAATGGGACTGCCGATGAACCCAATAAACAACTGGGATTAGTTCTTACTTATTGATCTTAGTGTTGGTATGTTTTACGTATGACTCACCAACTTGTAGAATGCAGATCAAACAATTATAATAGGTCTGTTAATTGGTTTTACACCGGCTGTTTTCCAGGTGCATCACTTAATCTTATCCATCAATATATTTTAAGTATCGGTGAAAATTTAATTTTATGTTGTTGAGTTTTTGTATTCCCAATACAAATGGGTGAGCGAGGTGGATTTCTGTCGAAATGAATTCCACTTCAATCACTCTTGATCTTGGCCTTGCTCAGAATACACTTATATTGTCGTTTCATACTTTTTATATGTTGTTTAACGCCACTTGGAGTGAGTGAGTTTATTTTTACGCCGCTTTTAGCATTATTCCACAATATCCTTGCAGGGGACACCAGAATTGGGCTTCACATATTTTACCCATGTAGGGAATCGAACCCGGGTATTCGGCGTTTTAATCACTAAGCTACCCGACCGCCCTTAACGCCACTTTGAGCAAATCCCAGTTACTTGATGGTTAGTCATGTTAATGTGGGTGGAAAGCCCGAAGTCTAAGACGTTTCCACTTTGGTGAAATACTCGGGTGGCCAATCCTCCAAGGCGCTGGAATTCGCTGTGAGGAGTTGGTCGTTGGTTCGAATCCCGTTTTGTCAAGGTGTGAGCAACATACCAGTGGTCGAGGGCGTTACTCAAATGGTTCCCATCTGAGACCCTCATCACGCTGGGCTTTCTGTCCACAAGTTAATGGATTGTTGACACACGGGGTTGACGTTGGTCGTGATCAAACGCTGGATTGTCTGTGATTTACAGGCAAGCGTCATATAGCTGACATTAAACATACGTCAGAGATCAGAACCTGTAGAGTCTTTCAGTCAGTAAAACTAAACTCACTCACTTCACATCAGCCACATGGCCATGATGATTATGATGGCAGATACAACGATGATATTGCAAACGTTCTCAGGTGAATATTTCCTTTAGTTTAACACCCAGTGACAGCAGGTGTTTCCTCGTCATTGAAGCACTCAATCTAAAGTAATTTAAGACAGAGTGTTTTCGGCGATCTGGTGTCCATTGTCGGTCCTCGTCTAGACGGTGTGATTCATGACTTGTGTCAGTTTCGACTGTATCTGTTTGTAATTCAGGTAATTAACGCTATACAGACATCAATCATACAATTTGAGGTAGCATACAGACAAAAGGATTCTGTTCTTGAGCAATAGGTTCCCGCATTGGACAATCTTAGATTTTCCTATTGCTATTCTGTTATTCTATCTTCATTTTCTCTACCCGTGAAGATCCGGGTTAGAATTGGTCTTCAGTAAGCATGCTTGTCGTAAGAGGCGACTAAGGGGATCGGGTGGCCAGGTTCGCTGACTTGGTTGACACATGTCATCGTATACCAATTGCGCAGATCGATGCTCATGCTGTTGATTATTGCCTTGTCTGGTCCAGACTTGATTATTTACAGACCGCTGCCATATAGCTGGAATATTGCTGAGTGCGGTGTTAAACAACAAGCCAACCACCCAACCAACCAACTTAACTTTCTCAGTGATAGGCTAGTTAACCCATTGTCATCACACCTAGTCCAAAACAGTTACAATACTTAAATGGCTGCTTTCAGATTAACCCCCCTTTCCGTCCTATTGTTACCATAGTGCGTCAATGCTGTAGACAGACAGCTGATCTAGAATATATATAACCCTAGCGTTTACACAGGCGTCAGAGAAACAAGCGTGAGGCGAATGAGATATTGAGTTATCTCCCTTGTGTGTGTATGTGAGAGGAGGGTAGTGAGTGAGTGAGTGAGTTCAGTTTTACGCCACTTTTAGCAATATTCCAGCTATATCACGGCGGGGACACCATAAATGGGCTTCACACATTGTACCCATGTGGGGAATCGAACCCGGCTCTTCGGCGTGACGAGCCAACGCTTTAACCACTAGGCTACCCGACCGCCCGAGAGGAGGATAATTGCAAGAGTGCTAATGTGTTTGCTGTCTGTGACCTCTAGATTTGATTATGTTAGTTTCTATGGTGTGAAAGGTTCCCTTTTATGTTTAATTTTCATATATTTATTCATTTTTGTACTTAGTTTGTGATGTCATAGACTCAAATGCTTTTAACGTCTCTCATAAACGTTATGGTGGCTTATACATTTTAACTTGCAATATATTGTAATTTCGATTCTGTAAATGTATTTGGTGAGACGAATTAAACAATTTCTATATATAAAACTCTAGCATTTAAACAAGCGTTAGCGATATCGTGTTGAGGCATTTCCAAAAGTGGCGCGTTAGACACCAAAATGATATATAAGGCAATTTAACTTATATGGCATAGTCTTGTGTTTTCACATTAAACAATTGACCTGCCTTGGCATGTGTTTGTGAAAAGTATGGCCGATGAGGCAGTATACACTTACGGTTTTCGTTTTATCACATGTTTTCAGCTAATTCTCGAATTTTCAGTTTTCAAAAGAAATTTCAAGTAACGAGAAAATATTCGAAGTAACGAATAAATTCTCGAAATATCAAGAAATAAGTGAAATTTGCGAAAATAACCGAGGCAATGAGAATATAATATTTCGAATCATCGAAAAAATACTCGAAACTTCGAGAAAATAACTGAAATAATGAGAAAACAATCTAAGAAACGAGACAATATGTTGAATAAATAATAGTTTTATGACACAAAAATGGAAGCATTGGGCATTCCAAATATTTCTTATTAATAATAAAATACTTACTCATTTACACTCATGTATGTCTGTGGGGCGGATGGGTAGCCATGTGGTCAAAGCGTTCGCTCTTCAAACTTTTGGTGAGTGATTTTTATGATTATAAAAGTTTGTTTTCGTTATAATATTGACTTCGTACAAGTTCATGCAAGGTCTGTTAAAGACTTTTTTATGTGTGGAAACTATTCTGAATATTCACTTGTTGAATTGGCCATGACCAGGCCATGATCAATCTGCTATATATTTCTTATATTGAAGTTAGATCCGGGGTAGAATAGGTCTTCAGCAACCAATGCTTGCCACAAAAGGCGACTATACTTGTCGTAAGAGGCGACCAACGGGATCGGGTGGTCAGGCTCGCTGACTTGGTTGACAAATGTCATCGGTTCCCAATTGCGCAGATCGGTGCTCATCCTGTTGATCACTGGATTGTCTGGTCCAGACTCGATTCTTTACAGACCGCCGCCATATGGCTGGAATATTGCTGAGTGCGGCGTAAAACTAAACTCACTCACTCACTATATTGAAGTCGACGTAAAAAGTAGAAGAAGGTGAGGCAAAGCACGCAGAAACACTTCATGACATCGTCGAGCACCAACAGCCGTACAAGCAAAAACGTCAAGTATGATAAAAAGAATCTCCTCAAGAGGATGTAAAGATGCGTGTTGGTACTTCCTCTTCCTGTTGCAGGGGTCGCCTCAACGGCTGCGACATCAACTCTCTTGGTCTCCTGCCAGACAAGCTAAAAACAGAACTCGCAATCCACGTCAATCTTGAAACGCTGAAAAAGGTGAGTTATGTAACATGTCTGGGAAACGATTCACTAGTTTGAAAAGTTCATCTGAAACATGTCTTATATGCTGAACAGAAACCTTCCAAGAAAATCACTAACACTACATGCACGTACGATGTTATAGATAATGGCGATAAAATGGTAAGAATAACAAGCTTGAACACGATGATAACAGACAGGATATTTTATGGTGGCTTGATAATGTTTTTTCAAATTTCAAACTTTCCTCTTGGTTCCCTTCTGTTGATTAAAAACACATCTATTTGTCACCGGTGTTCATCAGTGTTTGGGATTATTGTCAGGTGACATGTCTCATCCTTGTTCACAAATATTCATGATTGTTGCCTTGGTGACGTGTTACATCCGTGTTCATCAATATACATGATTGTCGCCTTAGTGACGTGTTACATCCGTGTTCATCAATATACATGATTGTTGCCTTGGTGACGTGTCACATCCGTGTTCATCAATATACATGATTGTTGCCTTGGTGACGTGTTACATCCGTGTTCATCAATATACATGATTGTCGCCTTGGTGACGTGTTACATCCGTGTTCATCAATATACATGATTGTTGCCTTGGTGACGTGTCACATCCGTGTTCATCAATATTCATGATTGTTGCCTTGGTGACGTGTCACATCCGTGTTCATCAATATACATGATTGTTGCCTTGGTGACGTGTCACATCCGTGTTCATCAATATACATGATTGTTGCCTTGGTGACGTGTCACATCCGTGTTCATCAATATACATGATTGATGCCTTAGATGCCGTGTTCCATCCGTGTTCATCAATATACATGATTGTTGCCTTGGTGACGTGTCACATCCGTTTTCATCAATATACATGATTGTTGCCTTGGTGACGTGTCACATCCGTGTTCATCAAAATACATGATTGTTGCCTTGGTGACGTGTCACATCCGTGTTCATCAATATACATGATTGTTGCCTTGGTGACGTGTCACATCCGTGTTCATCAATATACATGATTGTTGCCTTGGTGACGTGTCACATCCGTGTTCATCAATATACATGATTGTTGCCTTGGTGACGTGTCACATCCGTGTTCATCAATATACAAGATTGATGCCTTAGATGCCGTGTTTCATCCGTGTTCATCAATATACATGATTGTTGCCTTGGTGACGTGTCACATCCGTGTTCATCAATATACAAGATTGATGCCTTGGTGACGTGTTACATCCGTGTTCATCAAAATACATGATTGTTGCCTTGGTGACGTGTTACATCCGTGTTCATCAATATACATGATTGTTGCCTTGGTGACGTGTCACATCCGTGTTCATCAATATTCATGATTGTTGCCTTGGTGACGTGTCACATCCGTGTTCATCAATATACATGATTGTTGCCTTGGTGACGTGTCACATCCGTGTTCATCAATATACATGATTGTTGCCTTGGTGACGTGTTACATCCGTGTTCATCAATATACATGATTGTTGCCTTGGTGACGTGTCACATCCGTGTTCATCAATATACAAGATTGATGCCTTGGTGACGTGTTACATCCGTGTTCATCAAAATACATGATTGTTGCCTTGGTGACGTGTTACATCCGTGTTCATCAATATACATGATTGTTGCCTTGGTGACGTGTCACATCCGTGTTCATCAATATTCATGATTGTTGCCTTGGTGACGTGTCACATCCGTGTTCATCAATATACATGATTGTTGCCTTGGTGACGTGTCACATCCGTGTTCATCAATATACATGATTGTTGCCTTGGTGACGTGTCACATCCGTGTTCATCAATATTCATGATTGATGCCTTAGTGACGTGTGCCATCCGTGTTTCTCAAAACTCATGATTTTTGTCAAGTTGACGTACCAAATCTGCATTCACTCAGGTTCATGTTCGTTGCCTAGGTGACGATCTTCCAGGAATGTCAGCCGGAGTTCCTCCACGACCTGGTCCTCAAGATGCGAGCCTACATCTTCACCCCCGGGGATCTAATCTGCCGGAGGGGGGAGGTCGCCAGGGAGATGTTCATTGTTGCAGATGGTGTTGTCGAGGTCATCAGGTATGAGTGATATCCTTTATAACTACTACCTGAAAATACAGTATGAGTCTTTTCAGTATCTACAGACCCGTGAAGATCCAGGGTTAGAACTGATCTTCAGTAACCCATGCTTAGGGCCACTAACGGGATCTGGTGGTCAGACCACCGCCATATAGCTGGAATATTGCTGAGTGCGGTGTAAAACTAAACTCACTCATTCACTTCAGTATCTTCAGGGACGGTGGAACCGCCTCCGTGGTGTAGTGATTAGAGCGTCCACCCGGAGAGCGGAAGGTCGCGGGTTCGATCCCCGATCGCGTCATACCAAAAGACGTTAAAATATGGTACTTGTTGGTTCCTGCCTGGCGCTCGGCATTAATGGGTACAACAAGGATTGGTCGGCTCGGAGTCAGTATAATGTGTCTGAGCGGGGTATTCATGCTTCACTTCATGGTATCTCAGTGGGCTAGCACTATAAAACCAGCTTCAGTCTGGGTTAGTACAAGCAGCCGCACATACACATACACACGCATGCACGTCGTCATATGAGCGAAATATTCTCAAGTACGACGTTAAACCCAATTTCACCTCACCTCACCTCAGGGACGGTGGAGTACCCTAGTGGTTTAAGCGTTACCTCGTCAAGCCGAAGACCCGGGTTCAGTTCCGAATATGGCTACAATGTGTGAAGCCTATTTCAGGTGTCTCCAGCCTTAATAATGCTGGAATATTGCTAAAAGCGGCGTAAAACTAAACTCACTCATTCAGAGTATACATGTATGGATCATATGACCTGACCATTATCACAATCGTCATAACATTGGTGTAGCCCAGTGGTTAAAGCGTCCCTCGTCACGCCGAAAGCCCTGGTTCGATTTCCAACATGAGTACAATGAGTGAAGTCCATTCATTGCCTGAAATTGCTGGAATATTATCAAAAGAGGTGTAAACTCAAAGTCGATCAAAATAGTCAGAACACTGGGGTATCCTTGTGGTTATGCTTGTCTCGTCATGCCGAAAACCGGTCTGATTCCAAAATACGCATTAATGAGTGAAGCCCGTTATTTGTTGCTGGAATATGCTGGAAGCGGCATAAAACTCTATCACTCACTCATAATGTCGATGTTTACCTTGGACGCCAATGGGGAACTTGTTTATTCCATAAAGAGAAGGTGCTAGACAGCTGATTAGAATAAAAAGAGTGTTTGATAGATAGTTAAGGGTGGATATGAGACAATGGTTAATGATGTTGCAGTGAAACTGGCACCGTCCTGAAACGAATGGCAGCAGGGGACTTCTTCGGAGAAATAGGAATTCTTAATCTTGATGGCGGCATAAACAGGTAATATTTTAACACTTAATTACATTGTGCGATAATGCATTACTATTAAGTATTAATGTACATAACTGAAACATGATCTGAAACCATGAAGAGCCGAGATAGAATTGGTTTTCGGCATCCCATGCTTGTCGTAAGAGGCAACTAACGGATTGGTTGGTCAGGCTTGCTGACTTGGTTGACACATGTCATCGTTTCCAAGTTGTATAGATCGATGCTGATGCTGTTGATCACTTGATTGTCTGGTCCAGACTGTTTTTTTACAGACCGCGGCTATTTAGCTGGAATATTGCTGAATGTGGCGTTAAGCAACTGAAAACAAACCAAACAAATACATGAGCTGACTAAACATATCCCTTGTCGGTAATACCTGTTTCAATAATTCATCCACATATTCTTCGCACGTTTGTGTCTCCATGTCAAAGAAAAGTAATGCATGCTTCAAAACATTGGTTAATTTCACCATTCATTCAGATGTATAAATAGTAGTAAATAATTAGTAAAACATCAAGGTAACTTCGTTCCTGGGGCATAAACTACCCTCCTTCAATATATGTCATCATTTTATATGGGCATGGGTTGCCCAGCCGTTCCAGGCGCCACCAATCGTTGTGACTGCTTGCCATAAATTTCGAAATACAGTTGTGGTATCACATGTTTTCAGCTAATCCTCGAATTTTCAGTTTTCAAAAGAAATTTCAAGTAACGAGAAAATAATCGAAGTAACGAATAAATTCTCGAAATTTCAAGAAAATAAGTGAAATTGAGAAAATAACCGAGACAATGAGAATATAATATTTCGAATCATCGAAAAAATACTCGAAACTTATAACTGAAATAACGAGAAAACAATCTAAGAAACGAGACAATATGTTGAATAAATAATAGTTTTATGATACAAAAATGGAAGCACTGGGCATTCCAAATATTGCTTATTAATAATAAAATACTTACTCATTTACACTCATGAATGTCTGGGGGCGGATGGGTAGCCTTGTGGTTAAAGCGTTCGCTCGTCAAACCGAAGACCCGGGTTCGATTCCCCACGTGGGCACAATATGTGAAGCCCATTTCTGGTGATCCCCTCTGTGATATTGCTGGAATACTGCTACATGTGGCGTAAAACTAAACTCACACACTCACCTGTATGACTGTCTACTCTCCTGTCTCCCGTCTAGACGTACAGCTGACGTGCGCTCCGTGGGTTACTCCGAGCTGTTTGTGCTGTCCAGGGAAGATGTACTTGGGGCCTTAAAGGATCATCCTGATGCGGAGGTAAAATCACCGTTCAATCTCCCGCCTTGAGATACATGCAGATGTGTCACACTGGTTTGAGGCATGTTTCAAACGATGAACAGGAGGTTTAATCTTGTAATACACGTTTCAATACTAAATTGCATCGTTTCAATTTAACAATATTCCTTTCATCGTTTTGGTCCCCATAAGAAGACATATTGGTTTCATTTTTTCTTTTTTTTTTTTGTTGGGGAGTTATTTTCGATTTGTGGAAATATTTTTCCTTTATGTCGATTATTACCATCATTACCATCGCCGTCGTCATCATCGTCATTTTGATAATTGTTGTGTTTATACGGTATATTTCGCTCTATAAATATTGTTGACAGAGGTACACCTCTAAATTTCAAAGGGGTTTTCTTGCTTTTTAACGCTGCACTCAGCAATATTCCAGCTACATGGTGGCAGTCTGAAAATAATCGAGTCTGGAGCAGGCAGTCTTGTGATCAGCATCGTGAGCATCGATCTACGCAACTGGGATACGATGACATGTGTTGACCACCCGATCCCCTTAGTCGCCTCTTAGATCAATTCTAACACGAATCTTCACGGGCTTGTTTCACGGAGGGTGACACTTTGAACGAGGAAATTAGGTTAAATTATGGAATATTGAGGTCAAGTTACCGCACTATTTCACAGTCTCCTCGTCTTCCTTCCTTCACTGATGGCACGGGTAGGCCTACTATTCAAGGGTCCGGCACCTTACTGCCCAGTTGCGTCCCTTGAGCGCACCAGAAACCTATGATTGTGGTTTCGAATCCCGGGTCGGTACCATTATGTTTCTTGGTTTGTCAGAACCACACTCGTGCAAATTTGTTTCACCAGTGTGTGGAATCTCTAAGACCCACATGCGGTCGAGCATTTCTCCACCATTAAAACGACACTACATCATTTAATTTGAAAACTGTTATAAGCAGTATCACACCTCACTCACTCACTCACTCACTCACGGATCAATCAATCAATCCGTCAGTCATTCAATCATTCAGTCAGTCAGTCAATTATTCAATCAATCATTCAATAAATCACCCATTGCCTGCTTCTTTCAGTCCATCATCCGAGACTATGGACAACGTCGCCTACGGGAGATAGAAGCCCATCGCCAGAAGGTGAAGCCGCTTCAGAGGGAGGAGGGTTCCGAGGGACTTCACGGGGTGAAGAACTCCCTCCTTATGACCATCCGTAGCATGTCTCCGAAACTGAGGCGCCACGAGCAGTCGCCCTCATCTCCAAGGTTCAGTAAAGGGAACAGTTTGAAAAATATGGGCTTCTCTTTTAATTCCGAGGATGGTCCTTTTGATTCAGAAGTGAAGTATTCTCAAAGTAGTGGGCTTTTTGAAACGGTTTGTGGTAATTTAAGGCGTTTGTTTCATAGGAAGGTTAAGAGGAAGAAAGGTGATGACGGGATCACTTTGGACAACAGAGGGACAACTGAGGACCAGGCATCCTCTGTTCAGGACAGTGGTTCTGATAAGGATGCACAGGCGAAAGTGTCTAAACTATCCCAAGTGTTTATAAATACTCTTCAGTCAAAGAAACGGCCTGGTTATATGGCGGTGAGGACCGACGATCAGGAGTCATGTGACAGTGAAGCAGACGACAAATCGTCCGACACAAAAGACAACCAAATCATTGATCTGACCACAGCTGGAAAGCTAAAACAATTAAAAGCCAAAGAAATATCGGATGAGAAAGCACTTCGAAGTCAGAAAGAATACACACCTCCACCGTTGCCGGTCAACATGTCATCTTCCAGAGATTGTACTCCATCTCCAACAGCCAAAAAAAGTAGTTCTAGAGAATTTACGCCTCCTCCTTCCGCGAAACAATCAAGTTCGCGCGAGTTCACGCCCCCTCCTAGCGCGAACCTTCTGAGGCAAAGACAATACACCCCTCCTCCTGTTGATAATGTCAAGAAGTTTGATATACCAAGATGCAAAAGCTCTTCTGCTTCAGAATTAATAAGGAGAGATAACTCTCGCCTCGCCCTTCGCCTGAGTTCACCGCCGAGGGATTACGTGGCTCATATCTCCACTCCTCCTCTAGCATCATCTAACCCAGCTTACAGCATACTAACCCCTCCTCCTGCTAAGTCTATCAGCACTTACACCTGTGACGTCGATAAGTCTTCTTGTGACTCTAGTCAACTGTCGCCAAGGTACTAACTTCAACTTCTGTTGCAACCTCATTAAAATCAAATTCTTCTACCCAGATATAACTCTCTGTGTTGCTGTCACGTCAGTTCATCCTCTGGTAACATCGAAACGGAGGCTGCGTGGGTCCTTTGGCCAATCAGGTTCTAAGCTTCTAAAACGATTCTGCTAATTACAATTCGTACAAATGAATCTCCACATGAGACACAATCAGTCCTTAGCATTGCCTTTCGGATGTAGATACGGACAGGGCCAAAACCGACAGGAACTGTGAAATATGCACAACAATATAATGGCGCCGCTTTTACTTATGAAACGTTTCGGTCTCCTCCATTGCCGAGCCACGGATATCAGACAATCTGATTTAGACGCTTAGCTCCAGCTTCGTGAGTTTAGTTTTACGCCGCTTTGAGCAATACTCCAGCAATATCACGGCGGGGAACATCATAAATGGGCTTCACACATTTTACCCAATTGGACTCAAACTCGGTTTTTGGCATGACGAGCGAACGTCTTAACCACTGGGCTACCCCACTGCTCCTTCGTTAATAAGGAAATCCACCTAACGCTTCTAGTCATTGGGTTAAAGAGAGAGTTAAAGTGTCGGGGTAGAATAACTGATTTTAATGAGATTACCCTTTATTACTAATATCATTGAAGACCTAGTTCACTTAATCTGGGCTTCATTCTAGAAGGCTATGTTAGTGACATATTGGCCCATTCGTTATTGCTGACCGGCCAGTTAGAGAGTGAGAGGTTAAATTGGGCTCGACTTCTTACAACATACTGCAATTTTCACTTCGTTGATCGAATGTATTAGAGTCCAATTGAAACGTTGGCTCCTGTTTTCAGTGAGAAAAATGCCATGTCTTTCAAAGAGAGAGAGAGAGCTTTCTAGAAACGCGACCCAGACTGAGTTTAATCTCTTTGGTGTGAGAAATGGGTCAATTCTTTTGAACATTTATAGGATTATAGACGTAGCTGACTTAATACCTTCACTGTTACCGCAGTTAGGACATTTTAACCCGTGTTTTTGTTCTTCATTACAAAGTCATGTAACGTTTATTTCTTTTATGCTTACATCAATATGACATTAAAAAAAATACTAAAATCCGATATAAAACTTGGGCACGTGTCAGAATATACGGTATTCTACATTATAAAAGCGGAATATATTTGATGGTTTGCAACCAATTATATACATTTATTCAACCATACAATAGAATTATCCATATTATAGTTGAGTATTACCTTTATTCACAGGAAAGACAGTTCATATTTTGATGATGATGATGCATCAGGCCATTTAGCAGAAAATGGACAAAGGAGAAATTGCCTGTATGTTCTTTGTTTTTTAATCTTTTTAGAATCGATATTTTCTTGACACAGATAATGACAAACTATTTTCAGACTAACTGTACGTATTGCAAAGTTCACATACGCAATAATTGTAACTTTAAGTGTGTGGCCTGTGTATGGAACACAAGTCCCAAATCAGTTGAAGTTAATCAACGTTGGGAACGGAATCTTTGGATGAGTAAGTTTGTTTGACAGCTTGACTCCTGAGAGTTTCTGGGACTTAGAACTCTGAGAATTGGTGTTCTGTCCTGCCCTACAATGAAACATGTTTGCGTTCTCACATTAGGCAAGTGAGTTTGTTCCAAATTGCCTCTGTGAAATGGAGTGCAATTGCCTCTGTTCACCCAGCAGAAAATGGGTACCCGGTGGGATAAGTCTGATCTTGGGTTATCCGGGTTAGAGTGTCAATTATGCCCATAGGACATGTCCATGCGGCGGGGAGTTCAGCGCTATATAAGTGGCCAAATTATAATTGTAAAATGAGCCTTCATATGTTCTCTTATTACTACATGACATTCTTTTAATGTAGGATCGCAGGTGTTATGGTTATGGTTATTGTCGTTGTAGAATAACATTCAACCGCCCCGTAGGGTCAGGCAAATTAAATGTAGAATGAAGGTTACGATCAACCGTCTCCATATGATGAAGTCGTGGACATGTTATTCTATATTACCCATCAAATGTGTAGACTCACTTGTGTAAATGTAGCCACTTACTTCAGGCAACTGTTCTAACCTAGATTTTGCAAACATATTCGATACTGTTTAAAGGTACTGTTTACACATGTTCTGGCTAGCTATTCTCGAAACGTTCGTAGCCCTACGAACTTCTTAAACCCATTCTTAACACAATGGCTACGATCCAAGTTACGAATTCTTAGGGCTGCGAACGTTTCGAGAATAAGGGCCCTGGTGTCTTGTAAAACAAATTCGTAACTGTGAAAAGATTATTGTCAATAAATTCTGAAACTTAGTGAAAATTGACGAATTTTTAACAAAACTCAACACCAAGACGCAGCTGTTCGCATGCACGATATTTGCACATGCTTTTCAGCATTTTGATGCATGATCCTCGTACAACCAATCTGCATAAGGTTTGCAGGTGGTTCCCCCAAGTTGTAGAGAAATTCATCTTCGATGTAACCATATAAATACATAATAGATAGTGATTTCTTTAAGGGAGTCTAAACTTTTGACGGGTAGTATAATGTGTGTGGGTTGTAAAGACAGCAATGGGGACTTTAAAACATTAATTGTAAACATGTGATGATTTTATCACGCTTTAGTATAATCTCTGTTTCCAGGCAACGCTAGAAGAGGCGTATGCAGGCAGCTTACTTCGGTTGGACAAACTGACCTCTGTCCAGGAGACTCTTGTCAACCTACTGCAGGATAATCTCAAACTTCTACAGGTAATATATGGAGTCGGTGAGGGACATTTTATGTCGCTTTTAGAAATATTCAAGCTATATCACATCAGGAGACACCAGCACTTGGATTCACACATTTTACACATGTGGGGAATCGAACCTGGGTCTTCTGCGTGACGAACGAACGCTTCAACCACTAAACTACCCCACCGCCCCCTTATGATGAAGTCGCGGAAATGTCGTTGTGGGTTGTAAAGACACCAATGGGGATTTTAAAACATTAATGTGATGATTTTATCATCTCTGTTTCCAGACAACGCTGGAAGAGGCGTAAGAAAACAGTTAATGCCAGAACAATGAAAATTGTAAAGCGCTCCTTGTTTTAGTTTAATGTAAATGTCTTGCGTTATGTGACTGGCAGATCCGGGTTAGAAGTGATCTTCAGCAACCAATGCCTGTCTGAAGAGGCAGCTATCAGGTCAGACATATGTTATTTGGACTGACATATCGATTATATTTGTTCATATGAACATAGTGCTTTACACCGAACACAAACAAAATGGATGCGTTTGCTGAAAACTGCAAATGTGCAAATGTGATCTTACCAAGACAGTGACTAACTATCTTGAAATGCTTCGTTGTAGATGGGAGGTACAGTAAGGTAGCCTAGTGGTTAAAACGGTCTCTCTTCATGGCAAAGGTCCGGGTTCTATTCCCAAATATATATAACGTGAGAAGCCCGTCTATTGCTGGAATATTGTTGAAAGCTTCGTGAAATACTACTCTCGATAGAGTGGGATCCTAGGTACAGGGTTCGATTCAGCTTGGTTGATGCACGTCATCGTAACACAGTTGTTCATGATGTCAATCACTGGATTTATCTGCACCAGAATCGATCTTTTAGCTGGAATATTGCTCAGTGCGGCGTATAAAGATATTTTAAGATTAATATTTTATTGATCTGTTATATATATTTTCATTTGCAGTCGCAGGTTAAGACATCCCCCGATGCTTCCAACTGGGAACATACGACGGCGTTATAACGGTACTCACAAGCTGGTGGTACGGAGGTGACGTAGCACCATACACGTTGTCCAACGTTGTCCGTAACTTGGAAACCAACCGCTCCGCAGCTACGAAAGTAAAAGCTCTGCAACCAAGAAACCAAAAGCACTGCAACGAAGAAAGCAACATCTTTGCAACTATGAAAGTATGAGTTCCGTATCTAAGAAAGCAAAAGCCCTGCAAGTAAAAAAGGAACATCGCTGCATCTAAGAAAGAAACATCGCTGCATCTAAGAAAGGAACATCGCTACATCTAAGAAAGAAACATCGCTGCATCAAAGAAAGAAAGATCTCTGCAATTAAGAAAGCATCAGCTTTGCAGCTATTAAAGCAACATCTCTGCAATTACGAAAGCATCAGCTTTGCATCCATGGAAGCAAAAGCGCTGCAATTAAGAAAGCAAACGCTCTGCATCTAAGGAAGCAAAGGTTCTGAAAAAGCAGTGATGATATCATTTACAAATGATGTCGTCACCATCATCCAGTGAAGCTTATCAAGAACGTTGGAAATAAACCTGAAATATTATACCTTTCTATTGTTTCAAAACACATACATCTGACTGATAGCGTATGAATGAAAGGACACAAAGTGAGGGCCGTTAACAGGAGTGTTTAATTCGCTAGTATACCTTAGACTAGATACGGAAGTCTAAGCTATCAAGCCTTGGGAAACGGGAAAAACTTTCAGGGAGGGATAATACTTTCCAATGAGGACGTCCGAATCTCAATGCTGGAACATCACCTTCAACAGTTTTTCTTACCACAGCCAGACCGAGGGATCCTGGACGAGGGAACCAACCTTAATGAACTTGTCTCATGCAGTTTGTTGTTATTTTGTACATACTTCCATTGAAACTGACCATATTTGACATATTTTACACAACTTCACGTTTTCTTTGATAAGTATTTGCACATTTGTTTCTTTTGGGTAGATATTAGTCACATTTGCCTCCTTCATATTTTCTTTCTCATTAGCCAATGACACCTTACTACACTACTTTAATATACATTGATTATACCTATCTTGGAGCTTTTTGAGAGATATGTAGGTGTAGATTTACAATTCAGATTTAAGCAGTTTAGAGATTTCTTTTGGAACGTTACCTTTCACCATGTGTCGGCACATTGGGATTTGATGCCGTTGAAAAGGAGAGTCCAAGGAACCTCGCCATGGCGATTCCATGTAAGCATGGATACAAGGCCACACATTCAACAAAAAACAGCGGGAGGAAAAGGTTTAAAGTCTGGGATATATTTACCAGCTACTACACATCTTCTACCATGTGATTGTTGGTGGCCTCACTACCTAAGGTATTTGGCAGCCAGTATGCATCGCTTTACTTATAATTCTTGGTGATCCCATATTCGGCAACCAGTATACATTGCCTGGAAACTGTTGGTGGTCCCAGTACCTTGGTTATTTGGCAGCCAGTGTACGTCGCAATGCTGGTGTTTTCGGATGGTCCCGGTACCATATATACTTTGCGACCAATATACACCTGCCTGGTGTTTTAGGGTGATCCAATTTCGGTCTATGCTTGGCACCCAGTCTACATATGCTCTATGGTGGTTGAGGGTGGTTCCAAACATATTTACTAGCCAGTGGGAGAGTTTTATCTCTATTCCATTACATAGCGATTGCCGCATTACCTAATCCTGTCTAGTATACGAAGGGTGTTTGTTTTCACAAAACATTCATTGAGAATATGTGTCTACTCTGGTTAAAAACATTTTTATGTCATTCTATTCTAATAGACTTGATATCTCAATGAATACTGGAACTGCTGTTAAGATGTCAACTTGCTTAGGACACATGATAACAGAAAGATATTAGAAAAACCAAAGGTTCTATTCATTATGTATTTTCGTCTGTTTTATATTCCTCAAAAAAGGCTGAGAGAGAGTTCTTGAGGCAATATATGTTATTTGGACTGAGATATCGATTGTATATTTTCAGATAAATATACTGGTAGTGTTTCGGCACCAAATGCAAACTGAATAAATGTGTTTGTTGACAACTGCAATTTTACTAAGACTTCTTACCAAGACAGTGACTGACTATCTTACCGTGGTTCGTTATAAATGGAGGCGAGGAAAGGTTAGATTTGTAATTAAATCAATCTCCCGTCATGTCGACAGTACGCGCTCGATTCCCACATGTGCATATTAATAACATGGGAAGCGAGGTGGTTTTCCGATTCTTTGCTGGAATATTGTTGAAAAATTAAAATACTGCTCACGATAGAGGGTGAGATGTTTTAAGTCTACGATACCTTACAACGTATTCTCTCTTCATCATTGTCCTTATTCAAATTCACACATTTTCTATGTTGATCGCATGTGTTCAGGCTCTTCTGGATAGTGGAGACATTATTGTATCTCCAGCACTTCTACCTTATGTATTGTGAACTGACAGAAGGATATACCCAGTAGGTGCACCAGGTCCATTCGGCTAGTGATAGAAGACGATACTGCATAGAAGTCTCATGTAAATATGCCAGTCAGAAGGCAAACAGTATTATACATAATGACATGTTATTTGTATATAGTGTACATACGTCAAGGGTATGTCGAAACTCTGCTGTAGTAAATCAGTAAATAAAAACATATGATGGATTACCCTATGTTGTTGTGTTATCTCGCA